GATATCTCCAACATGCATACAAAGCCAACACACTGTTGCAGCAGTGTACATACAATAAAGTATTGGTTGCAAACCAGCTGTCCTCTGGTGGGCCAAGGTACATGCAAACCAGGGGATCTCTAACTGGATCTCCCTATGGTTTTATTTTTGTCCACAGCCTGGGCAAAGAGAGAAAATGCACAAATGAAAACAGAACATTGTGAGGAATGGCAGACGTGCCCACAACATCCCAATAAATTCTGCTACAGCCTACCAATTGGGGACAGTGCTGGCAACACTATCCATGTGGAAACAGATGCAGCCAGTCTCCCACATGTTGATCCAGGAGCACATTGCCATGTTTCAAACAGAAAAAATAAAGCCAAAAGGTCATGGAGCCCTGTTGCACACTTCGCTAAAACAAGCTCACATGCTCAGGAGGTTGCTGCCATTGATCTCTCATGGCTGTAAGCACCAAAATAAAATGTAAACCTTATCTTAAACCGTGCTAGCTTTAAACTATAGCTAGAATATACTAAAAATTGTAACTGGTGGTTGAATCACCATGACCATTGTATGGTGTAGGGTCAGGACCCGGTAGCGCTTTTTAGCAGGATTAATTTCTGACGTCTTGTTTGATTTAAATATCATTATATCCAATTGTGAAAAGCCTCACAGAACCTTGACCCCCTAAGCCATCAGGATACTACAAGGTCTCGCTGAGATGTGTTTGCTTTCCAGTCAAAGAAGCCATTTTGTGTTAATTACCTGCCCTGGAGTTTCTTGGAATGAGTTTTAATTTTTAAGTGTGCTTTTGGGTATTAAAGGGCTAGCACCCTCTGGGCGAGATCTTTATAAGCTTAGATTGTTCAATTACATTTATGTACAACTTCCTTCTGTAATGTTTGGTTCTATTGTTTTATAAATAAAAAAGTTTAAAAATACAGTATTACTTCACTAATGCACAATGATGTTCAGACAAATAATATGAATGTACCAGAATTTTAAAGCTGAAAAGTTAAGTGTCTTCAGTGATTCATTTGTGTCCTATCTGATAGGTTGCATGTCCAATTGAATGAGAATGCCTGTGATGGTCGTGCTAATTATTTGACTCATGGCAAGAAAAAGGTCTCCTTGGATGTATGTTAATGACCTTACTTCTCAGGAAACATAGGATAGAATTCAAACTACACATAATGGTCATGCTGCCCGAGACAGGCAGATGTGTGCTGCAAAATGTCATGTATTGTTCTTTTGACAAGTCTGCTAATTCTTTTGCTGTTTTCCCTAGACAGCTTGGTACTGGAGTCCAACGTTGAAGGAAACCAGCTTGTGTATCTCTGAATGAGCCCCAACTCTGGAGCTAAACATGAGCCTAGACGATCTGTGCGTTCAGCTGTGTGTGGAAATATGATAGCTGTCTTAACACAAGAAACTATTACCTTTCCATTTTACTTACTAGAAGAAAGAATTGTTGTGGCTGTGCATGTAATGTCCTTGCTGTCCATTCTGCCCTTTTAGGAGTGTCTTCCCGAACAGTGTCCCTTGCAATTCTGTGTACTACCTGCATAACAGTATAGTGTTGAATGTGATGGCTATGCCCAGGGGTGGCACGTCCTCCCATTTTGTCACCTGAGACGGAACAGGAATGTAGGAGACAGTAGTAAAGCTCAGGCCTCAACTTTCCTGACCACCTTTGTTGCTTGTTTCTTTACTTCTGTTTGTCAGAGTGAACTTCACCGGATGAGGCCCTATCTAGAGCTGTATCATACAATTTTAAATAGTGGTGGCTTCCTCCAAATAATCCTGTGAAGGGTAGTTAAGGTGCTGAGAGTTATCAAGAGATACCCTATTCCTCTTACAATTTCCAGAGTAGTTTAACATTCAATCCTTCTTCCCAGGGAACTCTGGGCTTTTTCTTTCTTTGTGTATCTTCAAAGACATGATGGGACATGCATTTCTTTTTGGCTAGCAATGGATGCTGTGAGCCTGGCAACTTGTTGATACAAATGTATGTTCAGGAACACCATACAAACGTATCATACACGAGTATACACCATATAAAAATACAGTTTGAGAAGGGGTGTGAGGTTGTTCACAGCTTGATTTGACCTTGGATTATTTATTGTGTAAGTAAACTGAATGCTATTGCCAGTTTGGTGTGGGGAGACTGTGAACAGATTGGTGGTGGTTTTAAGATGTACTCTGCACAAAGGATGATGACCAAACCAGTGTATTTAAAACAAACTGGAATGCACATTACATATGAGAAAGGGTCTCCAGAAATCTCTCTCTTCCAACTACCTGAAGGCCTAGATTCCTGAGGTGTATGGTTTTTTTTAAGATCTACTTTTCACTTGGCATTTTGGTAAGAGTAGCAGTGAGTCGAAGCATAATGTGGCTGGCTGGCAATGAAGCATTTCTATTTCAGGCTGAAGTTATTGTTATGGAAGAACTAAATACAGATTCTTCATTGGGGAAGCAGGTGCACTCTGTACATGCACACGCCATTTATTTCTGAGGCTCAGAATTCTTAATCATGTATTCCCTTGTTCAAGGTAAACCTCTTGGGACAGCATCACGTTTTGATTAAATATTGTCTGCACATTTTCCTTCTCAGTAAGCCAACATAAAAAATAGACCACCATAAGATATTGAGACTAATTAAGATTTTATCCTCTCTGCCACAGCTCAGTGTATGGCATTGGGTACATTACTGTGGTACACTTTCAATCAAGGGGGTTGATCAGCTAGCCATGGCTTTCCGAAAACAACGAAACAACTGTCCAATTGCATTTTAAGGCCTAGCAAATGTATTATTGCATAAGCTTGTGTGGATTACCAAGAAGGATGCATTAAGCGGACTCTGTGATCTACTTTACAAGGTTGCTGTGAGGCTAAAGAGACTATAAACACTTTGGCAAACCTAAAATGCTATTACAAAAAGTAGAGGAGTGCCTGGGATAGTTCAGATGATAACTTAGTGTGCAGAGCCTATATATTAGTATGGGAGCATGGATTGCCACTGCCTGCACACCTCACCCAGGCAAGCCTGTCCCAGCAGATTTGCCAAGGACCTAACATGTAAGGTCCAATGTTCGTAGGCCTGAATATCCTGGTTGTATCCCAGATTATTTTTTCTTTGATTTCTGAATTGGGTTTATTTTCATGATTCAAGACCTGACCCCAACCCTCCAATTCAAAATCAGGGACAGGCAGGCTGGATGTAGACTTTTTATTATGATTATTCCTTATTTATCAGTATTGCATTTATATCCATTCCACCTTTCCTCCAAGGAGATCAAGGTGGCATGCATTCATTCATTTCCCCATGTTATCCTCACAACCACCCTGTGAGGTAGGTTAGTCTGAGAGACAGTGACTGGCCCAAAGTCACACAGTGAGTTTTTAATGGCCAAGTGGTGATTTTAACCCTGGTGTCTCAGGTCCTAGTGCACAGTATCTCTATGCCTTATTCCACATTCTGGGGAAAAGATAAAGAAGTAAGTGGGGAGAGGGTAGAATATTTTCCCATAGGTCTGGAAATTGATGGGGTCCTTTGTTAAGGCCTATGTGGCACCTTTAACTAATTCAAGCTGCAATCCTATGCATTTCAATCCCCATGCAATGTAGTTATTGTGGTATGAATCTGCACTTAGCACGTAAGTGCCTTACCTTGATTTAAGTATTAAAAAACTTCAATGCTTAAGTGTCCACTCTTTCTTTGCAAAGGGTAAGGACGGGGAGAACCAGAACAGGTGGAGGCAACGTAACTTTTCTCAGAGCAGTGAAGCAACTGTGAGAGAAGGAAGCCCTTCTGAACCAACATAAGTCCTTTCTGTTTTGTTAAGTACAACTGACCCATAGTATCTTTTTAAGGGAGGAGGATGGGCAGAAGACAGGAACAACTTGGGCATGCTTCTGTGACCTAGGAACCCTACACAGTCCAGTGGTCACTGCCTACTTATGCTATACATCGATAGTGGAAAGTTACATACTCGAAATATATTGGGTGGAAATCCAGGCAACTATCTCTCCTCTTAGTGTTGTGCCATATGACTACATAATGCTTCCATGTGCATTTGTGGTGGGAACTTATAAAGAATGGAACGATTCACAATAGTTCAGGAACCTCAGTGTGTGTAAGAGGTGCACATGTGAATTATCAGCTGTAAGTTGTAGTTGAATTAGTATAATGGTATATGGTTGAATCACTATGATGGTCATGTGAGGTGCCATTTACACCTGATATCTGCAGACCTGCATGTTTTAAGCTTGTCTACCCAAAACATGTATAAAATAGAGGTTAGGTAGAGATTTAAAGGGGCAGAGTTTCAGCCAGAATTTTGTTTCAACTGTTGGATATCACTGTCTCCTTTGTGCAGAAGCAATGCTACAGTATAATTACAGAACCCATTGAAGGGCAGGGGAGATGTATGAATGAGAAAGTGGGAAAAAGCAGCCTATGCAACATTCCTAGTTTACAGCAAAGCTAGTCTCCATTTGTTTTACAATATGCCTGACTTTGGGGGGAGGGAGAAAAAAGCGATGTCAGGGGAAACCTGTAACCAAAAAAAGAGAAGGGGCACTACAATACAATTAGCTAACTTGGGGTGGGTAGTTATAGAGGGTCAACTTACCATGAGAACGGGCCTTCTTTGCTTCCATTTTGCTTAATTTCTAAAAGTTGGTGAGTTTTAAAAAGTTATTTTAGAAAGCTGAGCAGCCACCCACAACCACAGTGGGAATTCCCTCCCTGTAAAACCATTTCAGCAATCAAATTGCCACCTGCAAATGATGTAGTAAACTGTTATAGAGATTTCAATCTATCCCTAGTTTAGGTATCAAGGAATATGACCTCTGACTGAGCCAGTGGTTCTTTGCTATTTTCTACATCCCCACAGTACATGAGTTGCATCCATCTATGTGTCTCTGTATGTGTCGATGTCCCCTCCGGAATTAAATAAGAGACCCAACCATTTTGCTTGTGCCACCATTACCCACACTTATTAGCATAGCAATTGTTGTCAGAACTTTTTACTGCCACTGCATTTCAGTTTCAGTAACAGATATTTAGAAAATAAATACAATATTTAGAAGTTGAAAAAAATTCCACCATGAGTTACAGTAACTATGCAATAAAATTTGGTTGATTAGAGCTCATCTTTAACATTGCGATCTTTTTTCTTCCTTTTTTCTTTCTTGCCTTCTTTTCCTTTCGGTTCCTCGTTTTCATTAATTTTTTGATACACAACATCTTGTCCCTGTCTTCTCTTCCATTCTCTCTCCTGTTTATTCAAACAAGAATTGTAAAGCATGTTGGCAAGATGAAAAACCATGTTAAATATTAATATAAATAAGCTGCAAATAACTTATTCAATAGTATTCCATGTGTTAAGACCAAATGAAGGTTATAGGAATACATTACCTCGAGTCAATTTTTAAAAAATGTAAATGTCACAGCCAGAATATGAAATGCAGACATTTACTTCTATAAGTTTCCGTAAGAGATTTGTTTTTGAAATCTGCCTCCCTTTCCTTCTTGGCAAAGAGTCAGTGAGAAAGAGGGCCTCAAACTGAAAATGTAGGTTCAAGCCTTAACTCTGAAGGTATTTTCCCCCCAATCTAAAGTCACTATGAAAATTCCTAATAATCAGACGTGATGCAACACTGAAAACCTTCCCACCCTCAGATATTTTTGTCACTTTCTTTAGTGTTGTATATACCTTGCTGGGCTTTTTGTTATTTTTGTGCAATCTGTACAGCTACATTTGTACATTTATTCCTTAGTTTTCAGTGAGTTCTTCATAATTTCAAAAGAATTTAACTAGCTTCCCTTAACACCTAAAGCTTGTGTTTTTCAAGCAGATCTTAATATGTTTGGAACTACATCAGTTTTGTTTCTTACACTGTAATAATGGAAGCATGCATTTCTACAGTTCTTTACTGGCTACTTCTATGTATAAAAATATTATGTACAGTAGATATAGTATTGATTTTATGAATCCTGTTAGTGCTAGTTATGGTTAACTATACTCTGCAGGATGTGCAGTCTAATAATTCTATTCATGTTTACACAGAAGTAAATCCTACTATGTTCAACAAGATTTACTTCTAGGTAAGGGTGCACAGGATTACAGCTTGCTCGAACAAGACTGACTGAACTTAACAAGATATAGTATCAAGCAGATATGTGTAAGGATCAGACTATAAGGAACTTGGCATATTTCTTGAATAGTAATGGAATATTGTGTACCCTCAAAAATTATGCTTGCTTTACAACTTACCCCCTGTTCACCCACATTTTCCTTAGTCCTTCAGGCCCAAGGATGGTGTACCTCAGACCAGCAAAGATACCCCATTGAATCCTGGTCCTGTTTTACCTTATGAAGCATCTGAGCTTACTGTATTGCTAGAGGAATTCTCTTGTGAGCTAATGATAACAGCAACCAACAGCCTGGATCAATTCACAGGAGGATTCTTCTGCCAATGCAGTAGGGCTCAGGTGCTTCATAAGGCAATCAGAACCAGGTACTGGTATTCCTGGATACAAATCTGTGGTTAGAGGTCTAAGTGACCTCTGCTAGGAATGCCTTTTACCAACTTTGTCTGGTACACCAGCTATGACAATAACTGGATCATGATAACAGGAGTCCATGCATAAGTAACCTCAAGACTTGATAACTGCAGTATACTCTATGTGGGGAAGTCCTTGAGCCTGGTCTTGAACCAGGTAGTGCAGAATGTAGTGGCGAGACTGCTGCAGGGTTCAAGGCTCTTATGGTAATTATACAAATGCCTGGACACCTGGAGCTGTGCAGGTATACTAGCAAAAGCCCTTCTGCACCATCTCAATGCAGCCACTCTTGTATGGTGATTACGTTACTTACAAATGTGGGACCCCACATTTCATTCCCAGCATCTTCAGCATATTGTTCATCATTTGTGATAAGAAAATTGTCAAAGATTGTGCCAGACTTTCCCTGTTGGAATGAAAAAGGTAGAAGGGAAAAATGAGTTACTGAAGTAAACACAATCTAGCTAGATTTGTGAGCCATATATGATAATGGAAGTCCAACAATGTGTACTCAGAAGTAAGACCTATTGAATTCAGTGACACATTATTAGGTAATGGAGTTATGACCGCTACCTGAATTTAACACCATCAAGAATGGTGCAGCCTGGCTTCACCAGAAAAAGCTCACAATATAAATTGGGTACAACATTGGATACAATGATTAAAGGTGTTGCAAAAAACCCCAAAAACCTATGGGTGGAATTCAATGTGAGACAGAGCAAGCTCCTCTCTTCTCCCACCACATGCTGTTCTGGGGGTTTTCCTCACCTCCTTCCATCCAATTTTAAGGGGCTGGCAGGGAGAGAAGGAGGGAACCCCATTGCGCAAGTTAAGTCCTTGTGCAGGGCTTCTGCTGAAGGGGCTGGTTATGTGAATCCTGCCCTATAGCTACAATACAATGCTGCAAGAATGGGTGATACATGGTTTCTAGAAGTGAGATTGTACAAAGCTGCATTATTTTCTTCTCAAACCTGTATTAAGTGGCTATCTATTTATTTAAAATAATTTATTTCCTTCTGTATACTAAAATAATAATATAAAATATTATTTCCTGCTGTATACTAAAATAATATAAAATGTGAACAAGCAATAGAAAATGGCAGCGTGCATATATAATATTTCATTGTTATTTTGAAGAAAACTTCCTAGCTCACACATGCATAACATAGTAACCAATTCCTTCAACCAGAAATTCAACATTTTGTGACTGCAAATATATACAGTCCCAAAGCTGTTGCTTCATATCTATATTAAGTTTATATTTATTCTACTGTATTTATGTTTTCATTCTGTAGAATTTTGATTTTAAAAAAATTCAATTTCTGTTTGCCATGGACTAGGTAAAATGGGTTGGAATTTAACCGTGACATGCAAAGGGTACGGAATTAGGTGATTGCCTCCATTTCTTCTTTAGAAAACTGTCTCGTTTTCTGAAGGCTAGAAGCCAGATTCAAAATGCTTATATTTCCCTGTATCAGGAAGGCTTACCTATGTATCTAGTTATGGTATCTGGAGCCTTTTACAGTGGTACCTCGGGTTACAAACACCTCGGGTTACAAACACTTCAGGTTACAGACTCCGCTAACCCAGAAGTAGTACCTTGGGTTAAGAACTTTACCTCAGGATGAGAACAGAAATTGCGCGGTGGTGGCAGCGGGAGGCCCCATTAGCTAAAGTGGTACCTCAGGTTAAGAACAGTTTCAGGTTAAGAATGGACCTCCAGAACGAATTAAGTTCATAACCAGAGGTACCACTGTAAGGCTTTGCATTAAAAGTCCCACATTTCAACAATATACATGTAAGTCAAAAGTAAGTTCCACTGTCTACCAATTTAGCATGCACCTATTCTAATAATTTCATAATTAACATTGCATTCATACTCAAAGCCAATACACAGGTTTTTGTCATCCCATCAATTCAGCTATATCATAATCTTCTAATCTCAGAGGCAATTCTTCTCAAATTACTGTATCTACTCCACAATAATCCTACTCCAGAGTACATGGTGTGAAGATCACCACTGAAGCAGATTCTGTAGATGACCGTGCAGCTGTTTGAATTAATTGCAAATGCTGCAAATGGGAAACACAATACAGTGCTACCTCGGTTTAAGAACAGTCCTGTTTAAGAATGATTTGGTTTACAAACTCCGCAAAACCGGAAGCAGTGTCCCGGTTTGCGAACTTTACCTCGGTCTAAGAACAGAATCCGAATGGTGGAAGTACATCGGTGTCAGGAGGCCTCATTAGGAAAAGCGCACCTCAGTTTAAGAATGGTTTCGGTTTGAGAACAGACTTCCGGAACGGATTAAGTTCATAAATCGAGGTACCACTATATATCATATTTTCAAAATGAATGGGCTGCTAATGCTATTTTAATCCTGTGAATGATTCAAATTAGAAAATTGGACAGCTTTTCCGTAATAATGGTAAAGAATACAACTAGACTCTGTAATAAGAATTATCTTTCCAGTTAAGGAATTAGTTCTGAAAACTCTATAAATACATACCTGTAAAATTTCTAAACCAATGACACTGATGTTGAAATACTTGTAAAGATTAGGATCAGGTGTGTATTCTGGATTATCAACTAATGGCTGAACCCATATGCCATTATAATTGGGATTTTTGATTATACGGGGCTTCCAAATTCCCTAAAAAAGAACAATTGAGACAAGCTTGAAGTTTATTTCCCCCCAAACCCAATTTAGTCAAAATAAATCTTGGCTAAGTCTAGTGAAAGAAAAATAATAATATGGAATGTATTATCATCATTTGCTAAATATGTACTGACACATTATTTACCGTTTTGAGTGTGGCCCTTTCATAGTGATAATGCCAAGAGAAGCTTTATTTTACAATAAGTAAAACCAATTATATACCATTGACTTGTACTTTAACAATGATTTCACTAGGATGGGGAAGTAGCCGTCCATATGTTGTTGGTTTCCCACTTCTCAACATCCCTTCCATACTATGTTGGCTGGGGCTTATGGGAGTTGGAGTCTAGCAACAGCTGGAGCGCTACAGGTTCCTCACCCCTGTCTTAATTTGAAGATAATACAAGCAGTGGCGGAGGAACCCTCTCCGGCACCTGGGGCGGGGCAGCCTGTATGGAGTGTGCATGTGCAGCATCCTGTATGGACTGTGCATGTGTGATGACTGTACGGGATGCCGCACATGTGTGGCAGCCGTACAGACTGTATGGACTGCGCACACCCTTGGCCACTCTACAGCTGGGGGGAGGCAGGGGCCATCTTGTCCCCGTCCCCCCCGTGGCAAACCGCCCCCTCCGCATGCCCCTGAATACAAGTGGGAGAGGGGGACAGGAATGGAAATGGGGGGGGGGAGCTGATGAGGTGTGAATAGAATGGAGAAAGCAAGAAGTGATGGAAAGAGAAGTGAAGGTGGAGACACAACCAGTGATTTGAGCTGCAAAACTAAAGGGTTGAAACTGATAATATAAGGTGGGGGAAAGTTCTGCAAGGACTTAAAAATACCATGTGACAATCATGGTAATGGAAGAAAAGCACAGACAATTATTTCAACAGTGAGTAGAGAGTAGAAAAAGCAGACTGGAGACAGCAACTACTTGGAAGTGGTAAAGAAAGACAGAGAAAGAGAAAGAGGAATCCAAACCAGTGGGTCAAAAAGAGAGCAGCAGGAAAACAGAGAAAGCAGTACCTATTTGAGGACTTAGTAAGTGATGGGATATAGCTGCTTGAAGGGAGATACTGGTTCAAGAGATGGCATTTAAGGATGGAGGACTTGAGAAATACAGACGAAGCCAGATGAAGGTAGATTCAGGAAGACTGAACAGGAGAGTAGGTAGTAAGATAAAATGCCTCAGGTTTAAGCATAGTACCTTTTTGGACCAGTGGGCACACTTTGAATTCTGAGGAAGTGCTGTGGGTGCCTGTTACAAAATGGTTGCTATGGGGGTATGGCATAAGACAAGATTAGAGAGTGGAGTCACTGCTGCTCCCTCACCCCTGCACCTTACACAAATGCCATATGTGTGACTCCCCACCCCCAAATACATCTCTCTCAACACAGAAAATCACTGAGAAACCCCACCCTTTAGAAAAGTTCCTCCATGGGTAAAGGAAATGCCTATTTTTTGAAAACAAAACCAAAAACCAATGATGCTCAAGGGAAACAAACTTGGCACCAGGTAGACAATCCCTGGACTAAGTCATACTCAGAGACTTACTGAATTCAATGGACTTGACTAACTTAAATCTATCCATTTAAATGGGTCTACTCTGCGTATACGACCCCTACTGTTTACCATCTAAGTCTCTGCATTTATTATTATGCAGACCTATACCAAGCTTACTCTGTACTCCGGGTTTGGAACCGATGGTGGTGCCCACTCTCCATCCATTTCTTCATCCCAGTCATCTGGCTTCGTGACATTTGGGTCAGGAATTCTTTCTGGCTGATCCCAATCCTAAAACAGTATGCATTCATATAATCAATAAAGATTGTTTTCTCAAACATGTATTTTAGCAGCAAGATAATCCTGACAGTTTATTAAAATGCCTGCTCATTTAATATCACATTGACCAATTAGTCAGTTGAGTTCCGTGTTGGAAGAGTAGCAAAATATAAATGTAAATAAATACATAAAAATAAGTATTGGTTATTATATTGTTTTCTGTTATCATCTAGCATTTCATATGTTACCACACTTAACAAGCTTTTAGGTTCTGTGGCATTCAACAAAATTCACTGCAACTACTACCAGGCATGGAAATTTGTTTGTATTAATCCCGTGATAGACATATACTGTATTGAACTTTGTGTTGAACCAAAGGTGAACTGTTCTAGAAGCACTGCAAACACCATCTTGGTAGTCAATATAACCCCACAATTAATTGGTAGTTGATGTAACAATGAGCTCATGTATGTTCATACTCACTTCCTTTGATATAAGTTAATTGGCTTGTTTTGATGTTATCCTTATCTGTGGGCTTGAGGTGCTGGGCTTTGAGTCCAGAATGGGGAACTATCTATGAGACTTGGGTATTTGCCATCTATGCCCTCATCTGGTCAGGTGAAGTAAGAAGTCCTGGCAAAAGTGACATATGCTGCTTTGTGTATAAAGAATGTATAAATGTTTGCTTGGGTGCAGACATTTGTCTGTAAAGGTGAAGACAAATGTCACTGAGATGCAGAATTGATTTTAGAGTTTAACCCATCTCAGCCCCAGGCAAGTAAATGATCATATATTGCCTCAGCTCCTCCATTTGCTAAATGGAAGCAATAATTAGCTACCATTGTGAAATTGACTGAAGTAAGAATTATTTAAGACAATGATAATAGAAAGGGAATGATAGATATCAGACTGTTGTTGGAGCAAATCATAGAATTATAAGCACAGCTGCAACGCCCACTGACTTCAACTGAGACAACAAGAAATGGTCAGTGGACAGAATGCAACTGGGGAAGTAGACAGCTTTAATGTACATATATATCTATATAGAAAGAGAAACCATGATACTGAAACTTTACATCTGGTTTCTTGTCCATGGGATCTTCAATAAGCTCCCTTTCATCCCAGTAGTCAGGTTTTGCCATTTCATGATCAACTATCTTCCTTGGAGGAAGGAAGTCCCAGTCATCTTCTAGATAGCCAGCCTCAGCAACATAATTATCAACTTTCACTTCATATGTTAAATCTGGACGTAGTATCAAAGTGTAGAGATGGGTAAAGTCATCGGTCTCGAAAAAGAAAAATAATAAAGATTATTACATAAGTAGAGAGTTCTTTTCTCATATTCCAAACTGACTGCTGGTTTTTCCTGTTAAATGTTGCAACAGAATATAAACTAAATGAAAAAAATGGCATACAGATTATCTACTCAATCACTGCTTGAAGAGTTTGGAGGCCAGAAAATTGAGGACATACCATGGTACTTATTATTGGGTGGTGAGAGCTATTTCCCTTGCTTCTTGGGTTGTGTGTCAAAAGTAAATGGTGCCTAGGATGCAAGAGTGGCAACCATAATGATTGGTGCCCATCAGTTTGTTCTTGGCTACAGCTTGTGGTTAAGCAGAAGAGCTTAACCGTGATACTGAGTTCAAAGGACACATTAAGCAAAACTTTGGCTTAGATGCTGCACCACACTCAGCTAAAAGGTCCAGGGAAGAGCAAAGCAGAACAAAGCTCCAGCATGTTTGCATGGTCCCAGTAACAATACGTATCAACAAAAGAGATGGAATGTGAAATCCAGACTTGTAGTTAATTTCCCTGAAACAAACCTGCTGCTCATGTTCTCCAAACAAAGTACAATCTTGATTCAGATGACATAACATGCCAATGCTTGTAGCTTGTTGGTCCTGGTGCAGTGTGGTCAGGAGCAGCAGTGAATAAGTTGCGGTGAATTAATTGAGGACTTTTTGAGCTGCATGCACTAGCACTTTTCATTAACATTAAACCATAGTTAAACTATCCCATACTCGACAACATAATTGTAATGTACGTTACTATTAGTTTCAAAAACACTACTTGACCCAGACTTCAGTTATGGGTTTTTCACTGTTGCTTGTGTGTGGAAAGTAGAATTTCAGCAAGACAGAAAGATACAAAAAATACAGAGGAAAACTAGCAGCAAAGATTAGACATCAACAATGCTTCTCAGATACAAAAATAAAATAAAATACTGTTCATACCTCACATGTGATGTTTTTTTTGATCAAGTAATAATCATCTTTATAGTTGAAGATAACCTGCACTATCTTTTTGTCTTCTCCACATATATCTGGACCTAGGAGAAAACAACAGTGCTCTAAAACAGTGTTTCCCAACCTTTTTTGGGCAAAGGCACACTTGTTTCATGAAAAAAATCTCGAGGCACACCACCATGCCAGATGGGGAAAGGTCACTTTTTACTTATGTAAAAAAAAATAAAAAAATAGTAACAGCATAGAAGGTAATGGTTAGGCTAGCATCCCTCTTCCAAATATGCTAGGTTTTTATTTGCAGGGACTGTTCTACATGGGAAAGCATTCAGCACTGTCATTCTCCCATCTGTCATCTGAATTGGTACTATTCTGGGTCAACTTACTCTGCTGCATGTGTAGATGAAAATGGCACCAAGTGTGGGGGAGGGGGCAGAACAGGTTTCAGATACAGGATATTAAGCATACACGTACTTCAGATTGAACTGGTTGCTTGCTTTGCAAGTTTTCATTTCCCAAATGACTGCCTTGGCAAGCGCAATACCCACCAGGCTCAACGCCGGTCTCGCGCTGCCGCTTCCCCGGCTCTCAAGGACCCGGGAGGAGGAAAGCGTGAAGGGAATCCCGAAGGGCGAAAACCTCGCGCATGCGCAGGCCTTCCGCCTGTGACAGCCCAGTAGGCGGCCGAAGCGAGCGGCGATGGGATGTGGAGGGGAGCTCGCTCGCCGCCCCGCGTGTGCCTATGTGGGGCACGTTACAGCCCCGTGACGTCAGCGCCACGCAGGCAGCCAGGCAGGCAGACGGCGAGAGCCCCGTGCTGGGCGGCCTCTCCTCGCCACCGCCCCGCTCTCGCCGCCGACTCGCCGCCTCCCTCAGGCAACATCTCGCGGCACACCAGGCAACGTCTCGTGGCACACTAGTGTGCCACGGAACACCGGTGGGAACACTGCTCTAAAAACCCAATTGACTTGGATCAGAATTCCACCTGCACAAATAGAAGTCAGTTAATGATAGTTTGACAACTGATTTAGAAATTGCTGTTAGTAGTACTTTCTTCTTCTTCTTCTTCTTCTTCTTCTTCTTCTTCTTCTTCTTCTTCAAACATGGAAGGTGACTTACTTACTTCCTGTCCCTTGCAACCAACATTTAAATATTTTAAAACCATTTTAATCCCACTACTTCTAACTCTCAAGACAACATACATGGGAGATGAAAGAGCAGTTTTTAAAAATTGTAAGTAATAAGCAAAGTGTTAGACACATTGATTGCCAGTAAGTTTAAAAAAAAATGTCAAAAGGGTTGATAGCTACTACTTTCAGTAGCTTTTAAAAAGTTCAGATTTATGTTCATGGTCTATTGCTGTGTATCTGTATAGCTAAATTCAATCTTCAGAGACAGTATCAAATGTTGGCACCATACAATGGGGCACCGGAGGTGAGCTGTTAACTTCATGCCCTGCTTGTAAGCTCCCTGGAAGACTTCACCCTGATCCAGCAACCTTTTCGTCAGCTCATTGAATATACTTTGCAAAACATAAGGAAGCAAAAACTGGCTGTGTTTGCCCATAATACTGAGCCATTAATTATGGTTTAGTAAGCTAACCAGTGCACAAGGTGCATGCTGGTGCATGCATCCCATGTGCTCCCACTCTGCTTCTTCCTTAGTTGAGTGGGGAAACAAACCATTAAGCTTAACATTATCCCCAAACCAATTCTTGTGGTTTTTCTCTCCAAATAAACAATGTTTGGGAAGTCAAGAACGTGGCTTCAGATTTTGGTTTTCTGGAGAAAAACAAACCACAAGAGCTGATTCAAGTGTAATGATAAGCCAACTGCTCTGTTGTGTGTTTCCTCACTTGACTACCGGAAGAGTATGGTAGGCGCTCTTGAGCTTTCTGCAGCAGATAGTTGACTAAACCATAAGTCATGGCACAGCATTGTGTGCAGCCACTGATTCTCACTGATATATACAGTGATGTAGACTCAAAAAATATGAAAACAGAAATTTCCTTATAGTGATAAGCCCAATTCTCTCTTGACTTGCACTGTAAAAATGGATATGCTTTGACTGCTGACTAATAAGACATGTTGAGAACTTACCAAACATAATATAATATTCAGAATCTTCATTCATAACCTCTTGAACCAGGTCTGCAGAATAAAGTTTAACATAGGCACCACCACAATCGACATGTTGGTCATATTTTACTGTATACTGAAGCACTAACGTCTGACCTTCATTGTTGAAGGGCGGAAACCTTGCTGACACTGCATAATACTTAGTGTCTTCAGTTGCCTTCAGACCTGTAAAATTAAATCAAAGATCTAGAACTATGGTTTAAACGACTTATTGTACTTTCACAAAATCCTGTCCTTACTATGGTTATAATAATATAACCGCAAAGACTGTCTGGCGTTATGTAGGATACGAATATTAAATAACCTCTTGCCAGTTATACTGTTAACAAGAGAAGACCACCAATATACAAAATACCACTGTTGATTACTCTGGGAAGTTAGAAACTTGCAAAAATATTAGTCAAGAAACACTTTACAGAGCCTGTACATCGATCGGAAAATAAACAAAGAGAAAATGGAGATGTCTGGAAAAAGGGAAAACAAAAGTTCAAGCACCTATAACCACTGATTGTCGGTGCTTCAACAGAAAGCCCTGTGCAGCTGACAATCAGCTGATCATTGGAGCTTCAAAGTGCAGTCAGTCCCAACAATCATCCGGGATTCGCTGCAATAGCATGCTTTCCATCCCCCCAGAGGAAGCAGTCTGAATTCAGAGCACTGGAAGAAGTGCTTTAAACCCATGTCACTTTCTAGGTAGAGGGGGGAAATGCTGTTTTTAGGAGCATTTTTCCCTCTGCAGAGACTTTGAAGGGACTCCCTATAACCACCAATCAACAGTCTCTTTGAAGGCATGCTCCCAGCTCCAATCAGCTGACAGTCACTGAAAGAGCTTCTTCAAAAGTGGTTGCTCTAACTACTGATCAGCTTCTTCTTTTAACAATGTCAGGGAAACAACTGGTGGGTAGCCTCCTACTGGTCAGATCCAGTTCCCCACTCCTGCCTTAAATCTACAGGGATCCAATTTATCATCTTTACTAGCACAGGTGGCTAGGAGTGCATTTTGTCATTTTAGCTTGACCCTGTCTTAGGAAAAAAGTAACACACTCACTGGTTACATCTAGGCCACTGTAATGCTCTCTCTATAGATCTGCCTTTACATGTGGCTCAGAAAATCCAACTGGTATAGAATGCAGCCACCAGGATCTCATGTGATTTGGGCATATTGGATCATGTTACACTCATTCTACACCAATTACATTGACTGACTGTTTATTTATGGGCTCAATTTAAAGTGCTGGTTTGACTTTTAAAGAGCTAAATGTGTGGGATCACATTACTTGTAGGATCTATCTGCACCCATACAAATTTGCTCAGATGCAGAAGCCCTGCTCTCTAGCCCACCACTAGGAATCATAATGACAGTTATGTAGATGTTTTGATACTAGCCAATATTGTGTCAATAATGGAATAAAAGTAAATGAAGGCATGCATTCAGTCACAAATCTCATTTTTCACAACCTGGGGGATGGGAGAATGCATTATTTTACCTTTATCTTTTTCTCTATCTCCATAAAACCTTCCTGATGCAACACGAAATTTACCATAATCAGATCTATGTTTAGATTGAACCCACCGTTTCTCCCATTCATCTGAAAAAGTGAAAGAAGTAACAATGAGGTATAGCAAAACAATAACATGCAACAATTATTTCACATTATGTAAAATAGAATATTTTAGGACATACAGTGGTACCTCGGATTACAGACGCTTCAGGTTACAGACTCCGCTAACCAAGAAATAATACCTCGGGTTAAGAACTTTGCTTCAGGATGAGAACAGAAATCTCACAGTGGTGGTGCTTTAGGTTAAGAACAGTTTCAGGTTAAGAACGGAATTAAGTTCTTAACCCGAGGTACCACAGTACAGTACTATGCAAATTAACTCATGGCTGCACCACACATGGACTTAACAGCTATATAACAAGTAGTAATTTTCCAGATATTTAATCCAAACTCTGAACTGTGGTCAATGTTAACTATGGTTTGTTTAAACCAACAACAAAATAACTTCACCGTTTGAAGGAGAGTTGTTTTAAACCAACAAAACTAAACATTAACCACATTTTTTCAATCTGCATAACACAACAAGCTGTGGTTAAGCAAAAGCAGAAGCAAACAGATTCTGAACTTCCCCTTGTGCTACTGTGCCAGAGGAAGAAAAGGGAGGGAAAGAGTATATGTATCAGAGGCAAACCATTGCTCAGTCTCATCATACTATACTGTGGTTTAGAGTGAGATTTGAATGTGGCCACTGACAAGGAATAATACTAGAGCACTCATACTAGAGCATCTACGTCTTTCTTAAAGATCATTCAAGTGATGCAACCTTCATCACAGGCATAAAACCTGGCAGCAAACCTAAAAAGGCATTCTTGATATATCCTGAATTACATTTGGTTAAAAACAACCCTACAAAAAGTATTTTACTCAATAATGCTTAGCTGAATATCACAAAAGCCTATATTTAACTCCATCTGGAGCTAGAGAAAACTGCTCAATGATCCCAAGAGACCACTCACTACATGTTGAATCATGTTTGTGATTTGCCTGGTTTATGTCATGTTTATAACACTGAACATAGGGCTCAAAATTCAAACAAATGTAATATAAACCAGATTCAATTAATTTTCAAGCCATTTTGTAATGGACTTTCAGTACAAGACTGTCGTCATTTAGTATGTCTTCTAAAGAAAGGGTACAAACAGGCACAATAATAAATGATAATAACACCTGTACTGTACTGATCTTCCCATGGGATAGAAATAAGAAATTGGAAGAAGGGAGGAAATTGTATGGGAGGTAGATGAGGACATGTAATATACTCTCTCTTCCTAGGACACAGCACTAAAAACCTTCAAGAATGATTAACCAGAATCAAACTTTTAACCAAACCCAGAAACCTAGTATTGTGAATGAATTTGCCTTTAGCTCCATATAGAGCAGCACTATAAATAAAATTGCAGTCTGCTTAGGAGTTCTTAAGAAGAGATATTGAAAGATATTGAAATTAGGAAACATAGCACAGATTTTAAAGCTGTGCAATCTCTTATGCAGTGAAACATACTATACTATATCAGGACATCAGTTGCTTCTGAATGTTTCAGAATAGACAGTAAAAACTATTTCTATCTGGGTTACCTTTTCTTTATATTTAAACAGATGAAACTATTAACTTTGGATGCATCCTTTTATAAATTAGCTGTGCTCTAGGATTCCAAATGCATCAGGACTGACTCCTCATGTTCAACTGGTTTATCTCTGTTCCTTCCATGCATCACTCACAGTGAAATCATATGCATGTCTACTCAGATGTAACGGCCACTGAATTCAGTGAGACATATTGCCAGGTAGGACAGCAGAACAGGACAGCAGCCTCACAATATTTGCAAGACAACTGCTTTTAATTATTAGTTTTCCTAAACTTGGGGGGAAATTGCAAAAGGTCAGTCTTCTCTTTCATGCTTCTATTCTTTATTTTTTTTCTGTAGTGGTACTGAATGTACTGATAGCTTAGTAGAAGGGATACCATACAAAATAGATATTTCATAGTGTTTTATCAATTAATTTTATTATTAAACAGTTAAAAAAATGAAATCAAACAAGAATGCAACTCTTTAGAGTAAGGCTACATAAATGAAAGAAGATTTGGAGGTCAACAGTTTCCTTCCAGAACAGAGAAACAGCAAAGTATCACTTACCTTCATCATCAAACTCTTCCCTAAAATACTCCTTTATTATTGTATGCTGTGGTGTCTCTAACATAGTAGAAGGGCTATCATCATTGTCATTGTCAGTTTGTTCCCCAAATACCAGTCCTATCAAGAAGGTCCCTAAGTAAATCAGCTGCATTACTGGTTTCATAGGAACTTAGAGTTCTGAAAATGGTAGGAGGCTTCTTTAAATTGCACTAAGAGGACTATAGTAACACCCCCTCTGAAATATTGTCCCACTTCTCCTAATCTACAACCACAACAGTCATCACACTGATAATCATACTGAACAGAAGGGTCTTTTCCACTGGTTAGAATCCATGAATAATTGAGCTACAAGGACCAATCAGAAGGGACCACGCAATTGCGCTAGCACAGAAACTCCCTGGAATGTCTCAAAGGAAATGGATTCTGAAGACACAGGTGTCTGGATCTAATTCAGATCAATTCACACCCAGCAAGTGTATTGCCTTCCTACTCGACTACTCTTTGAAAGTATTGTTAGCATTCTGCCATTTGAAATATATTTGAGAACGTAGCAAGCAGAACTTTTTAGAATTCAGTACATCATAATAGCTCACCTTGTTTTTGTAAGTAAATATACTGTATTCATCTCAGTCAAAATAGCCTCAATCCCAACTGAAATGTTACCATTCCCACACTAAATTCCCTTTTGAAAACAAACTAAGTGGTTTGCAGCATTCTAGAAAAGAAAAGAAAAAGCTGGTCATGACAGCTCATGACAATTTGACTACATTGTCGTTGTTGCGGTCTCTACTCCACATATTCAGCTAGTTATCAGTGTGTGTATATCCCACTCACATAAAAAGGAGTAAAGCTGCAAAGCCTTGCATGAGTAATCTACAAGAGCAGGAAGTTGATTAGAAACTATGGCTGCAGTCCTAATTCCACTTACCTGGCAGTAAGCCATATTTAATTCAGTGGGACTTAATTCTGTGTAGACATAGCTAGGATTGCAACTTTAAGCAGGAGTAGCTAGACTATGTTCCTTCAGGTGCTGCTGATCTGTAACTTCTATCATCCACAAATTCTGGCCATGCTGATTAAGGCTGATGGGTAGGTGGAGTCCAGCAATGTGTGCAGGGCCACAGGTTAGTCATCTCTGAACTAAAGGAATTAGAGCAGACACAAGCTTTATATCACTATGCAGAATCACTCCTCTACCATATAATTTCTAAACAAGATTGCAACCAAACACAGGTGGCTAACCAGAGGACCTCCAGATTTTTCTGAATTACCACTTCTATCATCGCTGCTCATTGGCCATACTGGCTGGGGCTCAGGTTTCCTAGGCCTGTTATAGTTGGTGACTATTCACAGTATTTCTCTAATTTGTATAAATCCAGAGTAATTCCAGTCATGCTAAATGTTCAGACCAATCTCATGCATGTCGCTCGTAAGTCACGAGTTTAGGATTATAGCCTTAGTATATTAAAAAAAACACCTAATTCCATTGAGCATGCTTAGGAGCTGATTAATCATTTCACATAAAAATTATGTTGGTTGTTATTATTAATTTGATTTATAAGCAGCCCTTCACCATAAGTTCCCAATTAGTGTGCACTAATTGTCACTGATTTCCAAAATAGCTTCCAAACAATATGTTTTATTCTGGCATTGGGGAAAGATGTATTCTGATCCTTTGCAAACTTTCTCAGAGATGAATTAACAATCACTGAGTGTGCACAGGATTGTCACCCTAAAGTTAAACAGGAACAAATGGCTTACATTCTCAAGTATTCTGACAACACGTAATGCATGGAAGCTTATGCCATAATAAAATTTGTCAGTCTTTAACATGCCACAAAACTTTGTTGTTTTGGCCTCTAATATAAATATGGATATGATCGGGCTGTGGAGGAGTGGTGTTAGTAGAAAGTTTTAATAGGGATTTCCCCCCATTCCAGCTCTGCAGTCCCAGGAATACTGAGCAAAAGGTCTGAGAAATCATGTGAATTCCTTAAGGTCTTTGAAACTATCAACAGTAGTACTGAAGCATATTGCCACATGCCAAGAAGAACTCTGACCATTACTTTCCTGTTTAGTGAACATGATTGCAAAATTGCTCAAATGCACAGTTTGCTTCATGGTAAAGAACATACCCCAATCCAACTTTGCACTTTTCTAGGCTTGTCTCCATCCTCCTCTCTGCTGAATTCTACAAGGGAGAAGAGTAAGGAGAAGGAAGCAGACAGCCAGAGCCACCAGTTGGACTGGCTGTATAGGAAAGCAGGCGGCTAGGAGGCTTGACCTGCTCCACTGAATTGAAATTTCAGCCTTCATGACATAGGAAAACGGCCAAGTAAACAGCTATTTTCGTGGAGGTGGGTCAAGATATTAACTGATATGCATGAAATATCATATATAGCTATATAATCCCTAGTGTAGTAAGATAAGACCTTTGGAGCAGGCATTTTTTAAAAAAAGTTTTTTATGAACCGCCCTAGTAGGGCAGTAATTGTTCCTTGACAATTTGTCACCTGATGATGGCACCTGGGTCAGCCTGTCCCCTGCCCCCCCTTCCTACGCCCCTGCATACGAAAAGCATAGTAGATTAGGGCAATCCAATCAGAACTAGAGTGTCTGCAAAATACCTTTACGGCTCCAGGGTTCCAAGAAAACTTGTCAGTGCTGAGTGAATTCCACATCTGTAGTGGGAACAGGGTAATAAGCACCGTCTTTATTCAGAGCGACACCCAAATGAAGTTCTGTAACTCCGAATGCACTCGAAAGGAGTTTCAACGAGGCTTTCTTCCAGGTCACCTACATGCAAGCAGAAATACAGCTTTCGGCACCTTTAAGCCCATACTGGCAGCAGCCTTAAATGCTTCACTATACTTTAAGACAGCATCTTAAAAAGCAGAGACATCACCTAGCCGACAAAGGTTCGTATAGTTAAAGCTATGGTTTTCCCAGTTGTGATGTATGGAAGTGAGACCTGGACCATAAAGAAGGCTGATCGCCGAAGAATTGATGCTTTTGAATTATGGTGCTGGAGGAGACTCTTGAGAGTCCCATGGACTGCAAGAAGATCAAACCTATCCATTCTGAAGGAAATCAGCCCTGAGTGCTCATGGAAGGACAGATCGTGAAGCTGAGGCTCCAGTACTTTGGCCACCTCATGAGAAGAGAAGACTCCTTGGAAAAGACCCTGATGTTGGGAAAGATGGAGGGCACAAGGAGAAGGGGGCGACAGAGGATGAGATGGTTGGATAGTGTTCTTGAAGCTACTAGCATGAGTTTGATCAAACTGCGGGAGGTAGTGGAGGACAGAGGTGCCTGGCGTGCTCTGGTCCATGGGGTCACGAAGAGTCGGACACGACTAAACAACAATACTTCCCCAAGACTATTCCAAAAACCCTCGTGCGCCCCCTAACGATTATTATTTTTTGGCCCCCTCCCTCCACCTTGCGTCCTTCAGTACACAAGTCACGCCCCCTCAGTCTTTATCTCCTCCCTCTCGTTAGCAGCTTAGGCTCTGTGTGTGTGTGTGGTGTTTTTTTCCCTTGCCGCGCCCGCCGCCTCTCTCCTCTTAATCTCGCGCCGCCTCAGTCAGGCCTAGCCCACTGACGGTGCGCGCGCACCCGCCCGCTCGCGCGTTCTTTCTTTCTCTCCGTCCCTCCTCTCTCCTCCCCCCCCAGCCCACCCCGCTCCTCCTCCTCCCTCAGCCCCGCCCGCGCGACCGGCGTTCGCTTCAGCGGGGCCGCTTGGCATCTTACCGGCTCCCAAGATGGCGTCCATCATGGAAGGCCCGCTGAGTAAATGGACCAACGTGATGAAAGGCTGGCAGTACCGCTGGTTCGTGCTCGACTACAACGCGGGGCTGCTCTCCTACTATACGGTGCGTGTCGAGGGAGGGGGGGGCCAAACCGGGAGGACGGAGCTGTGGGGGTGGGGTGGGGGGGCGAAGCGGAGCACAGCCAGGATGCCCGCTTGCCAGGGGTAGGGGTTTCTGAGAGAGGGAGTGTCGCGGTCGCGAGGAAGCCAATAGGGATGGCAGAGATTTTGGCGCTAGCCAATAGGGTGGTAGCGTTGGGAGATTTATGTGGAGGGGGGCGTGGGGTCGGGCCGCGTTTTAACTTGAGGCGACTGAAGTGGGTTTTTTGTGGGGTGGGGGGAGGCGAAGGGTCTGGTGGTGCTAAGTGCTCTTTACTTTGTGAAATGGGGAGGCGGGTCGCAAAAGCTCAAGCCTGTTTTGGGTCTGGGGGCGGGCAAGCTGTACTCTCCTTGCTTGAGGAAAGAGGGGTTGACTCCTTTTGGCAAGCGCGGTAGAGCTTCCGCGTGATAAACGTTGGCAGCCAAGGCTGCTTTTGTGCCGCATTTGAAGGCGGAATCCAACCATTCCCCTCTTTTGAAGTAGGGATAGACCAGAAAAGGGAAGTAGCAGTAACTTTCTCCCCCTCTCTGTCAGATGGTGACTCCATCCTGAGCACCCAAACTTGAGAGCAAGTTTCATTGACGTTAGTAAACAAACAAAACACAGGCTCTGCTTATGGTCTTGCCCATTACTGTGTCTACTTCAGGGGAGACATCTTGATAATTGAAATCTGCACAGCACAGGGGATTAATTAAAAGCGTAAAGAGTTGTTTGGCAGGATCAGACACAAGGTCGAACTACTGAGGCACTCTGCAGCTTACAAACAGGACATTAGGGACAAAACTGCCTGTTTTGCAGTCTCTACCACACTAGTTACACTGTATCTTTGAAAAAACAGTAACACACAAATCTGGGGTTTACTATGTAACAATTGTGGCCTTAAAACAAAGTTTGAATAGGTTTAATTCAGTAAATTGTTTAAGATTCAGTTAAATTGAGTGTTGCTGCTTCGGATAGTAGTCTTTGATAGCGGTAAACTTTGCAAGTTAGCAGGTGCTTTGTGCGGTAAAACTTCTCATTAGCACACAACTTGTTCAATCCAAATTTATTTTATGGTTTCAATTAGAACATTATAGACAGGCAACTTGTTCAGGGTTAGTCATAGGTAGCAGTCTTTTAACATTTAACTGGGAGTAATTTGAGCTCAATAGGATTTTGTTCTGAGTTGACATGTATAGAATTGCACTTGTTTTGTTTTTACTTAGTTGCCACTAGAAACATTTACCTTTTCTTAATAATCACCAATACAGTATACTATATGTTTTTTTTGTGTGTGAACGTTATTTACTGAACAATCTTCAGGCAGAGGCAGGGGTTATTAGCTTGTGTCTGGGGGGTGTTCTTATTTTTATTATGTATTTTGTTTTTTTATTATGTATTTTTTATGTTGTGAACTTCCCTGAGATTTATGGATGAAGGACAGTATAAAAATTAATAAACTTAAGTAAAATAAACAAGCCATAGTAACTGTAAGGTCACTCTATTGCTACTTACTTATTATGGCCGAAAGGTGATCTATAAATATACTGACTTCAAAGTGACTTAAAATAAAAATAAATAAAAATGATTCATTATTAAAAACCAATTCAGGTCTAAGAAACAACAGGGAAAACTTCTAATCACATAGCAGCAGCATGGGATAAACCAGTGTTTCCCAAACCTGAGCCTTCAGCTGCTTTTGGTCAACAATTCCTACCATCCTTGACCGCAGGAATGATGGGAGTTGTAGTCCAAAAACAGCTGGAGACCCAAGTTTGGGAAACAGTGGGATAAACAGTGTCAGAATAAAAAACAGAGGAATACAAATAACTTAATCTAGTTGCAGAAGTTACAGTGAATAAGGTAAGTTTTATGACCACTCCCTCTGAGAAGAGAGAATGTGCCTGCCAAAGTTTCAGTGGGAAGGAATTCCAACCACAACAGAAAAAAACCCTATTGAGGGCAGCCTGGCATCTTGACTAAGCTGGAGACTGGGGTTGGTTAGTAACATTTAAGACTATGACATGTTATAAGTTTGATCATGCGAGTGTTATGTGGAAATATGAGATTACCATTGTGGTCTTTGGTTGGAATAGAGGCATCTGTGTATTTTAAGGCTTACACCATAGAATTGCCATATGGGTTTAGTTCTGGTGACTGAAGTGGGGTGGGTAAAGCAGTAGGAATGTCCAGTCCTAATACTTTAAGAATGGAACATGATGATAGCAGCTAAGTTTTGAGGTAGAATTTTGAAGTTTTGGCAGATGAGCTAGTCCTTGGGGTTATATTGGGAATTTATGAACTCAAAGTATGTATATTGAAAGGGAAGATAACCATTTAGGGGGTAATATTTCAGATAAAAGCATTCTTAGAGTTGTCAGCAACTTTACCGGCAGATGCTTTCTGCCTTGAGTGTGCAACATGTTAGCATGTAAGAGCTGCCACTTCTTATGAATGATAATATATTGCTGTGAAAATATATAACAAGGGCAAAGAACCTGTGCTAGGAAGAGGTGTTACTTTAAAAATAGGACTAACGTTAAATACTACTTCCTGCTGCAGTAGTGCAAGAGGTATGAAGGGCTGCAATTCTCCAATATGGATGCAGGAACCATTAATATCACTTTTTAATTTAGGTTAGGTGACCCTTTATTCTCCCCCCTCCCCAGATTTTTCCAACAGGGTGTGAATGTACTGCTTTACATTTCCTTACAAAGCCTACACCAATGCCTTGTGACCTTAGAGTGAGGGTGGGTAATAAATTGTAGTAATAATAAATTAAGTTGCCCCATTTAAATACAGCCTTTCTGTCAAGACACTCAAGGCATTTTTACAATCTTGGCGTATTAAGACAAACATGTAAAGTTGGGTGTGGGGAGAGGACAGTCGGACTGGAGCAGACACTGATGTTGTCTCTGCTTCTTTCCCTTGCATTCTTCTTCCTCCCAAGTAGGAATATTATAAGGAACAATTAACATAGTAGGTATGGAATAGTATTGTGTGGCTTCCTCTCTGGGTGCATGAATATAAGAGACTAAGGATGGAGATCTGGAGATCTGTGTTTTGGTGTTCTGCTCTTGTGCTAGTACTGTACAAAGAGCTCAATTTGCACATAACTCTTAAGCCATGGTTTGTTGAGCACACAAACCCAGCCCAACAAACTAAGCATGATTTGTTTTCTATCAGCAAACAACATTGTGGAGACGACTTGTTGGCTTACAACCCACGGCTTGTTTTAACTGTGGTTTTAGTGTTACTGCCAAACCCAGCAGCCTTGCTTAATCATGGTTTGTTTCATCATTGCACCTCAGACACTCACCAAACTACAAAGGCATGAGGCAAGAGCCACTGGAAAACAAACTAAGCTTTCAAGAAATAAGATGTGACTTGTTCATTCATCTGTGAGATGGTTCATGGTTTCTTCAACAAACCATGGTTAAAATAGCAGTCACAGTGATTCATTGCCTGAAGTAAAGCTGTAAAAGTACTTGCCTTGATGTTGGCTTGTGAATATATTCACTTTGCAGGCAAACAGTTCAAATATGCTTATGTCTCAAACTCATATACACTGTTTAAAAATTTGAATTTGCCAACATGATGCAGTGTGATTGTCTTTATCATAGTTATTGTATCTTTTTTCTTAAGATGTATGAGCTTTGAATAGGAAGGCTCTTCTGAAAGAAAAAGAGTTTAATGTGAGGATATGTTCACAATATGTTGCTTTCTAATTGAATTCATTGCTTTCCAATTGAAACTTAAGAACATAAGAACAACCCTGCAGGAGTAGACCAAAGGCCTACCTAGTTTAGTTTAGTTTCCTGTTTCCCACAGTGGCCAACAAGATGCCTACAAGATGCCCACAAGCAGGACATGAGGTAACAGCTCTCTCCTGTTGCTGTTCCCCAGCAGCTGGTATGCAGAGGCATGGCGACTCTAACTCTGGAAGTGGTATATTGCCATCATGACCAGCAGACATTGATAGTCTTAGCCTCCATTAATTTGAGTTAGAGCTTAATTGGGTGATCCTGAATTCTAGTATTACAAGAAAGAGAAAATAACTTCTCTCTATTCCTTTTACACGTATATTCTTTGTCCAAAAATTTCAGGTTCTGCAGAACATTAAATTTTCATCAACAAAAGAACAGGCAAGCATAGTGGGTAAATGTAAACTCACCTGGTCTTTATAATTTTGCTGATGTTGGGGTGTTAAAGGTATATCTCATCTTAAACCATTCCATGTACTTTGGAGAACACTGAAATTGCCATTTCTATGAGTTCATAAGGGAGAATGGAAATGCCTGAGAAAATAAAGTGAGCAAACCCAATGGCTGAAAGAGTCCTTAAGCAAAACTCTATTTCATTGCCAGCTGTAACTTTTAGTTCTGGTTTAATTTTTTGCCCCAGGGATCTAAATTTTCAGGCGGGAAATGTACAAAGAATTTAATTGTATAAGAGAAATACATCAAGATCAATCTAGGCTTTCTTCTGTACATATTGCTGTAGAACAACAACCTCATTATGTCTTGTACACAAAACTGGAAACAGAGAACTCCATTGCAGGTTTTAGATACAGTTTCTTTCTGTTTCAGCAAGATGCTGCTTTGCCACAAAGGAAAATAAGCACTGTACTGTTTACATAAATCTTCTGCATGAGGTAACTGCATTCCATTCTCATTTGGTACCTTGGACTCTCCCTCTGCTTGCAATAAGTAACCTGATACTTCACATCTGTTCAAAACAAGATTCTTGGTGAGCTTGTTTTACAGACAAAAGTATAAACGCCTGTTAGGAAATCAGATGTGCACACTTCTGCACTGGATAATCTTTGTGATTTGCTTTCAGTCCTCAACAAATTGGGGGTTGCAAGGAATCCTGAATGGGAGGGGGCAGATAAGCATTTTGGGAAGCTCTCTCATAATGCAGTAGTATGAGCCTGGTGAGCCTGT